CTAATTTTAGAATATTTTCATGACCCCGAAAAGAAACCCTGTACCTCTTAGCAGTCTCTCCCCATTCCCGTTTTCTCTCAGCCACCGACCACCTCTGATCTTTGACTCCTGTAGTCACCTCACGTAAATGGAATCCAACAATATGCTTACAGTCTAACAATATCTGTGTGTGCTTCTTTCAGTTACCAAAATATTTTCAAGGCTTATCCGTGGTGTAGGATATATCAGTACTTCATTCCGTTCTGTGGCTGAATAACACTCTGTTGATGGACATGTAGGTTGTTTGCACTTCTTGGCTATTGTGAAAAATGCTTCACATGTGAACATACACATGTTTTTGCGCACTTATTTTTTTTTAATTTCTCTTGCGTATACACGTAGTGGTTGAATTCCTGGGTCACAGGATAATTCTGTTCAATATTTTGAGGAAATACCAAACCATTTTTCAAAGTGGCCATACCCTTTTACATTCTCACAAGCAGTGTATGAGGATTACACTGTCTCCACATCCACCAACACGTTATTATGTGTCTTGATTGTGGCCATCCCATATGTTGCCATATGGGTGTAAAGTGGTATCCCATTGTGGTTTTGATTTACATTTCCCTAATCACTAATGATGGTGAGCAGTTTTTATGCTGTCCATTTGTAGGTCTTCAAAGAAATGTTAATTGAAATCCTTGGCCCATTTAAAACTGCAGTTGTCTTTTTGTTGTTGAGTGATAACAATTCTTTATATATTCTGGATCAGTGTTCTTTATTTTGTTGCTCAAAGTGTCCTTAGCTAGTGGGAACCTATTCAAATTGGCTTCTTTGTCCTTTAATATACCCCCATCATTTTTGAGTGCTGTTATGGACTGAATTGTGTCTCTTTAAGATTTTTTCTTTTGAGACAGACAAAGACAGCACAAGTGGGGGAGGGATAGAGAGAGGAGGAGAATCTCAGGTAGGCTCTGTACTGTCAGTGCAGAGCCCAATGTGGGGATTGATCTCACAACTGTGAGATCATGACCTTACCTGAAATCAAGTCAGATGCTTGACTGAGCCACTCAGGTGCCCCTCCCTTCAAGATTTATAGGGAGTCCTAACACCCAGCACACTTAGAATATAACTGTACTTGGAGATAGAGATATCACGGAGGTAACTAAGGTTACATGAAGTCATAAAGGTGTAGCCCTAATCCCATATGACCATTGTCCTTATGCAAGACACCTATGGGAGCCCTAATCCCATATGACCACTATCCTTATGTAAGGAGACACCAAGGAGGGGAATGTACCAGGAAAGGCCATGTGAGGACACAGCAAGAAGATAGCCATCTACAAGCCAAGGAGCACAGCCTCAGGAGAACCCTGCAGGCATCTTGCCCTGGACTTGTTTCCAGAACTGTGAGGAAATAAATTTCTGTTGTTTAACCCACCCAGTCTGTGGCATTTTGTTATGGCAGCCCTAGCAAACCTCCTCCTCTCCCTCCTCCCCCTCCCCCTCCCCCTCCTCTGAAATTTTAGCATGGTTCAGAAGGTCAAAACTCTACACAAAGCTTCCCTCCCCTGTCCTTTCCACCCGGTTCCATGCCCCATAGGTAAGCCAGCCCTGTCGTTTCTGAGTCATCCTTCCTGTGTTTCTTTGTTTGGCCACTGCACGCCCCAGAGAGGATTCCTTGCAACAAACTCCTGAGCACGTCCATCTTAAGATGCGGAGCCTGTGCTCTGGTGTTCCTTAACTCTAGTCAGCCAGGTAACCAGTCAGTGGTTATTTGGAACCTACTCTGTGCCAGGCACCAGGTTAGATGCAGGGGACGGAACACTGACATACAGTGAAGCAGGTGTGTCCCTGCTCTGTGCCCTCTCACTCTCGGAGTCTCTTCTCCCATCTGCCCTCCTCTCTCGGTCTCTTCTTCTTCTGGTCTGTTGTTCCCTGCTCATAAAGCTGCTGTTTTTTTCATTGACTTAGACATACACAAACTATCCATCATTTATCTAATTTATAATAGATATTATTAGTCTTACAAATCGTCAACACAACACTTTGTAATGGTCTATTCAAAGTAACACTGATTATGATTAAATGTGATGAGAAAATAAAATTTCCCTCATCAAATTGGGTCTCCCAGGTTACATGTACCTGGCAGAAATGGCGTGACCATGAAGGAAAAAGTAGAAGGGCAATAAAAGTTATGTAAAAAATGCTAAATCTAATCTTGTTACAAAATTAAAACTGACATGAAGTAATCCTGATGAAAATAATCTTAGTAAAGCATAAATAAGCACGGGAAAATTGGAAACTGTTTGTGCCATATAGAAAATGACTCAATGATTTTGTACCAGAAAATACAAAATACAGGAAGGAGGGGGAGTGAAAGCTGAGGCTGGAAAGAAGGCCAGGATGTGTTTCTAATCTCAAGGTCAGTGGTGCCCACTGGCCTGCTGTAAATAGAGGAGTCACATTGGCCTTGCATTTAAGAATGTGTCACTGTGCTGGAGAGAAGGGAGCGGGCAAGGTGTGCACCACAGAGCCCATCCTCTGAGGCCGAGAGGTGAGGATGGTGCAGGTGAGGGCTGAGAGGAGGGAAGGACTTGAGAAGAGGGAGAGAGAGAGAGAGAGAGAGAGAGAGAAGAGAAAGCACATTCATGGCTAAAGATGGTGGGAAAAGGTTGAGAAGTTGGAGGCCTCTTAGCTCCTACAGAGTTGACACTGGGCTGGGTTTTGGAATAGAGAACAGTTAGGAAATATCGTGAAGGGGGAGTGAGTAGAGGGGCATGCCCGACAAAAGAGGTGATGTGGACAGAGGAGGAGCACAGGCTCATGTGCAGAGACCCTGGCAGAGAGTGTAGGATGGTTTCAGAGGAGAAAGAGCAAGTGGCCCCGAGGCCCCCATGTGGATGTCCCTGCGGGGCTGGGGGCAGTGGTGATGTAATTTACACACACACAACCAGCACTCTCCTACACTGCTGCCAGGAGTGTAAAAGAGGGCAGCCATTTAGGAAAATGAGTTGGCAGTTTCTTCCTAATGTTAAACACCCACTTACCCTATTACCCAACCATTCTGCTGCTAGATATTTACCCAAGAGAAGTGAAAACACAGGTCCACACAAAGGTTCATACAGAATGTTCACAGCAGCATTATTTATAATAGCCAAAGACTCCAGCTGCCCCAAATGTTCATCAGCAGAGAGTGGATAAACAAATCGTGGTGGTGCTCCTCTGCCGAGTGCACGCAAATACAGGGAAACAGACGACTGACCTTGGCAACAATACCACAGTTGCCAACTAAAAGAGCCAACACAAGATTGCCTGCTGTCAGATTCCATTCATGGCAGATTCCACCTGAGGGTGGAAGGTATTGACTAGGAAGGGGTCTGAGGGAACTTTCTGGGTGATGGAAATGTTCTGTATCTCAACAGGGGCATGGATTAAACAAGTGTAAATATTTGCAAAACTCTTGAAACCTACACTTCAAATCTGTGAATTTCATTGTATGTAAATTATATTTCAATTTAAAAAAGTTATTGTGGTTTGGAAATCACATTAAAAATCAGAAATGATTTCTTAGTTTGGCTTGTTTTTTTTCTAGGTGATGGTTAACTTAAAAGGTGTCTTGGTGGGGGCGCCTGGGTGACTCAGTTGGTTAAGTGTCGGACTCTTGGTTTCAGTTCAGGTCATGAACTCATGGTTCAGGAGTTCGAGCCCTGCATCACTGTCCGCTGTCAGCACAGAGCTGATAGCTCTCTTTCTCTCTCACACAAATAAGTAAGCATTAAAAAATAAAATTAGATGACATGTTTTTTGTTTTAAAGCATTTAGCCTGCTTGTCAGGATGCTCTGGCTGCAGCCAGCTGAGCTGCGGATGTCCAGCCTCCTCTCCCTCTGTTTTCCTTCCTCAGGATGCCTATATCCTGCTGCTCCCCTTAAGCATTAAGGGCGGTAGCATAGGTTCTCTAGCTGACGACACCCCTACAAGGGCTGGCGCAGTTTTGTCTCAATGTTTTGAGACACAGTTTGACAAGATCAGCAGGTTTGCATCCAGAGCCAATCACTGTGTGGACTTGAAGCCATATCCCTGAGCCTCTATTTTCCCTTCTGGAAACTGGGGATAAGAGTTGTCAGAGTTAAGTGAGCCAGCTCAGGTAGTACATCCATCTCTAATGCTTGCCACATGGGGGAACCGGGAAGTGTGGCAGCTGAGGTCCTGGCTGTCTCCTGTGGGCTGTCTCTCTGCACAACAGGGGTCACTCCCAGTGTGGCAGGCCCTTCTCTGCTACTGGCTACCTGCAAGGGCTCTGGGGCACGTCTTCCTTCACATGTCCAATGGTATTGAGGAGCCTGAAATTAAGTCCTCCATTAGAAACAACCTCAGGCTGCACATAGTCCCAATTCCAGGAAAAGCCTCAGCTGAAGCCACCCTCAAAGCGCCCTTGGATCTGCCAATCAAAAGAAATGTGTAACATTCCTGTAGTCTTGGAGACGAGTCAGGGCTGGGAACTGCAGGTAGTTACTTTGTACAAACTTGCCAATCAATCACTGCTTGCAGGAGCCCCACATAGATGCTCTCTGAGCCCACCTCATAATTGGTCATTTTAAAAGACTCTCAAAGGTCATGATTGGGTCCCGCCAAAAGTAACGAACGCCTCACAGATACTGAATGGTCAAAACTGTTACTATGCTGTTACTATGGGTATTGTACAATTATGATTGGTGCTTATGTAACGATGCAAAACATACAACATGTGCATGGTAACACCCCTGCCCTTCCCCCATAAAAACCCTGCTTGCCACTGTTCGGGGCTTCACTTTGCTGCCGCTGTGCCGGTAGACAGGTGAGCCCCCTGCTCAAGCTTGTAATAAAGACCCTTCTGTACTTGCATCGGTGCCGGCTCGTTGGAGGTCTCTGGGGACTTGCGATTCGGGCATAACCGTATCATCTCGTGTATTGTTGGGAGCCGAGTTAGGGAACTCACCTCAAAGAAGCTGACCTCAAACTATCCTTATTGTGTTTTAAGGGTATCAGCATGGAAGCCATGGGTGAGAATAAAATGGTGCCCTCTGATTATAGCACAGGACCTATGGACAAAGCTGCCAAGCCATTGCCATTTAAGGATCCAAACTTTGTGGTAAGCATCTAAAGTATTTTATACACACAAAACCCAAACAGCCATACCTCAGCCTCTATTCCTGAGGGGCCTGTGGCCTGGGTGACACTGGCGTCCCCTTCCATCAGTCTAAGTTGCCACTTTCTCAGCCATGGGCTGTTAGGAGATGGGCGGGGGCAGGAGGAGGGCCCTTCCTCTTCCATTGATCTTCCAGTATGCCAGTTCCCAGGGATTTTGGTGTCTTTTGTGGAACTGGTTAAAGAGGATGGATCATGTCCATGATTCTTCACCATCCCTTTTCATTGGTTTTATGTAAGTTTTAGATGAGGCTTAAAATAATTAACTGAAAGAAAAGTGTTCCTCATTAGTTTAAGTAAATCTAACCTTATGTTGCTCTAAAGTAGAGATAGGCTACTCTTCCTTTCATTCCTGCAGGATTAATAATTACAGAGACTCATACTATGTCATTAGAAGTTTTTCATTAATTAGTTTTGACTGCAGTATTATCAGTACCTGCAACCAATTTTGGTATTTTTTTCCATTTTACTTTGTCATTTTTATAGAAGAAAAAAGAAATTTCCAGAAGGCTTGCCGTGTCATGATTGAGGCTTACTTGGGTTTTCCAGGATTTCCAGTAATTTGTGAGGCAGTGACCTGCCCTCAGAAGGGAGTTTAGAGATGTAGTCATGAGTTTAAATCTAATTTTGTAATACATTTATTTTAAAGTAATGGGAAATTCATGAGTGAATTCTGTAAAGTAAGTCCCAACAAAGGATGTGAGTTTCTATGAGTATGTTTAAAAAAAAAACAAAAAATACCTTTATTTCTGTTCTATCACCAACTATCTCACGAGTTTTGATAATCCACAAGTTGTGTTTTTGTAAGTAAGATTAAAGTGTACAGTGTCATACTTAAAAAAACAGCCCTTAGGGGTACAAGCGGGCAGAGAGAATGAGGGCTATGTTACAGTTATGAATGAGCATGATTCAGATGCTGAAATGGCACCTCCGCTGAATTTTGTCTCTTCTGGTCCATGTCTTTAATTCAAGCACTCTGGCCATGGTGGCGCCGTAGCTGGCAAGAAGAACAGAACCTGGAAGAACCTGAAACAAATCCTCGCTTCGGAAAGGGCATTGCCATGGCAACTGAACGATCCTAACTGTGAGCTGTCTGGAGCCTTTCATGTGTTTATAATGTTCAGACTAGGAACTTCTAACAAACGTACAGGATTTGCCTGTGTCTGCATTAACATAGGAAACTACTTTTAGCCTAGGAATTCTGTACTTGCCTCAGTACAGGGAGATAACGTACCTGTTTCCTCATAATTGTATCTGTGTTGAACCTGTTTGTATCATCATGGATGTGTGGTTTTGGGCGTCACCATTAACATTTCCGTCTGGAGGAATAGGTCCTGATATGGTCATACTAGTGTTTCTGTTAGGCATACTTCTTACTCAAGAGTCTCTCCTTCAAATCTGTTTTCCAAGGTTGCAAAAGATTTAGGAGAGTTTCTAACAACCAGCTGAGAGGCTAACTGTTTTGCATTCCAGGCCGTTGTTTTTCAGAGTAAATGCTTTATGCTGCAGTATTTTTCAGTCTGTGTACAGCACTGTTATAAGTTCTGTTCAACTTCATTGGAAAGTAGAGGTCAAAGCTCCATCCATGTCCTGTCCCATGGCACATCTTTCACAGGGGTGACTCAGATGGGTGACAAGTAAACTAGTCAGCAGTCTGGGTGTGGACATTCTGGTGTCTGGGTGCGCAGACCCAATTAGGGGTTGTTCAGCATCGCCCTCAGCCCATGGAGCCAGTAACAGTGAGAGTGGCTTGTGGGCAGATGAGCTTTCCGGTGGCTCCCCGGGGACAGGGCAGGGCTATATCCAGAGCCTGCACTTGGTCTGTGATGTACGTAATGCATTATCCCCCCGGAGAGTTCTGGGAGCACTTGATCACAGAATATTCATTTCAGAAATATCCAACAGCATTTTAGGAGGGAAAAGGAAAGGGATCTGAATATTTTAAAGCCAGCTTAGTTACCTTCTTTTTTTCCCCCTAGACTTCAGTATTGACGCTCCTCCATCCTTCAAACCAGCTAAGAAGTATTCTGATGTTTCAGGTCTTCTTGTGAGTATGATTACGTCTCTGTCTCCTAGCACTGAGTTGAAGAGGAGACTTCACAGTACTATTTAGACAGTGTTGATATGGACCGCCCCTGACCCTGCCTAGAGCCTGCATTCTTTGAATAGGTAATGGCTTTGTGCTGAAGCACTCACAGGCCTGTCTCACAGTGGCTGCAGCCTGGGCCATCCGTGTGGCAGGCTGGAGGGAAAATGGCTCCAGAAGGAGGGAGACACGAGTTCCACTTCCCCTTCCATTTTTTTTTTTTACTGCTGAGATTTAAAAAATTTCTCACATTTGGGGCACCTGGGTAGCTGTCGGTTGGGCGTCCGGCTTCGGCTCAGGTCAGGATCTCGCTGTTTGTGGGTTCGAGCCCCGCGTTGGGCTCTGTGCTGACGGCCAGCTCAGAGTCTGGAGTCTGTTTTGGATTCTGTGTCTCCCTCTCTCTCTGACCCTACCCTGCTCACGCTGTCTCTCTTTCAGAAATAAAATTAAAAAAAAAAAAAAATTAAAAAAAAATTTCTTACATCTTAGAAATGATTGTACTTTAAAAAACGTATTTAAACTTCTCCAAAGACTAAAGATGCATTATGGTAAAGACAGTGATTTTCAAGCTTATTTGTAAGCATTGGAAGCATGATTTTATGCATCGCTTTTTCAAGTGAAATCTTTGACAGAATCCCCGGGAGCCCACCGACCCAGCATGGCACCCTGTGCATCTGGTCCTCTGTCCTCCCCACTCTGTGTGTGACCCCTAAAGTGCTTCTGGGAAACACAGTTCCAACACCTGCAACATTGTTGGACAAGCAAGACTCAGGCAACTTGCTGAACTGAGGAACCTCACAGAACTTCATCTCCTTCCTTTCTGAGTGTAAATGCCATGTGCAGCTTTCAGCCCTGCTTCCTCGTCCTTTTCACTGCTATTAACGTTTGGAAGATGGGCCTTTTCTCATAACTGTAGAAACAGTGAGGCACTTGACTTTTTATAACTCATACACATCATTCAAATGTTTTACATTTTTATAAAAATGTAGGACTCCAAACATCTATAACAAACTGACTGAACTAATCTACATTTTACAGTGGGGAAGATTTGAGATTTTTTTTTTCTTTTTCTGTTTCTTTTTTTTTTAATTTTTTTTACAAATAGTTTATTGATTACAAATAGTTTATAGATTTGAGATTTTCTTATATTTTTGAAAATAATGTTAATTATACTCTCTGAGTCAGTTGTGTATTGTAGCTTTTCCTCCAGAAAGCACACACTCCTTAGTGCACTACAACTTTCTACCATAGACCCTTTAACAGTGATCTCAAAAAATAATAGGGAGAGTAGAAGTGTCAGAACACTGTGTGTGTGTGTGCGCGTGCGCATGTGTGCACGCGTGTTTGTGTGTGCATGCATCTGTGTGCTGGATTCTTTTGCCATCCATTCAGGGTTCATATTTCCGCCCCTTTTTAAAAAATGGTTATTTTTGAGAGAGACAGACAGAGCACGAGCCGGGGAGGGTCAGAGAGAGAGGGAGACACAGAATCTGAAGCAGGCTCCCGGCTCTGAGCTGTCAGCACAGAGCCTGACGTGGGGCTCGAATCCACAAACTGTGAGATCATGACCTGATGCGAAGTCAGATGCTAAACCGACTGAGCCCCTCAGGTGCCCCTACATATGCCCTTCTAATCTTGGAGGGGAGTTCAACTTTTGAGCAATGTTGTAGTCCTACGCTGATTTGTCTCCTCACTGAAAATAGTTGCCTCATATATTTGACCCTTTTTTTAATAGTTGTTCATAGCAGGAGAACTAGTCTGGCAGCAATTACTCAGTTATGTCCCAAATGGACATTTCTCTTTGGAGAAGCCAGCGTTTATGGGCAGGTAGCTTTTCCTTACCACTAGGCAGCTCATGGTCTAGTGCACTGGTTTACACACATGAGGAGGCATGAGAATCATTTTGAGAAGCATTGTTTCAGGTCCCTTTGTGCCATAGGCAAGGACTTGTCATGTCATACCTAACCTAAGACTTCTTGCCCCATCGTAGGTAAGAGTTAAGAAAATTTTGAATATACAAAAAACTCTACCAAATCATTTAAAGACAATCCCATAGAAGGGCTAGCTAAAAGGATATGAATACAATTACAAAGCAGAAATGCAGATGACCAGTAAGTAGATATTCAGTCTCACTGATAATAAGGAAAAACAGTCCTCAGTAGGAAAGAGCGGCACCTGGGTGGCTCAGTCAGGTAAGTGTCCAACTCTTAGTTTCAGCTGAGGTCATGATCTCATGGTTTTGTGCGTTTAAGCCCTGCGTTGGGCTCTGTGCTGACAGTAAGGGGCCTGCTTGGGATTCTGTCTCTCCCTCTCTCTCTCACGCTGTCTCTGTCTCTCTCAAAATAAATAAATAAGCTTTAAAAAAAAAAAAAAAGACCCATTAGTAAGGAAGAAATGAAGACACTGGGTTATAAATGTCATCAACATAGAGAAATGGATATCCTCCCACATGGCCCTTTTGAGAGGGGAGTACGTTGCCCTGGGTTCTTTGTGTTTTTTAAAAATTTTTTAATGTTTTATTTATTTTTGAGAGAGAGATAGAGATAGCATGAGCAGGGGAGGTTCAGAGAGAGGGTGAGACACAGAATCCGAAGCAGGCTCCAGGCTCTGAGCTGTTAGCACAGAGACCAACACGGGGCTTGAACCCATGAACCGTGGGATCATGACGCGAGCTGTAGTCGGACACTTAACCGACTGAGCCACCCAGGCACCCTTGGTCTGGGTTCTTTGGAAGCCATTTGGCAGTCAGTACCTATGGAGGCAGAAAAGCAATAGCCTGTGACCTAGCAGTCTGCCTTCCAGGCAGCTCCTAGAGTAGCAGTGTGTACAAGGAGCTTCGTACAGACGTGTTTATGAGAAAATGTGATTGTGAGAAAAACTCTGGAAACAAAATCAAGGTCAGTCAACCTGGGTTTGGGATTGGGGATGTTTTCATACTGTCCTGTGAGGCTGACGTATATGTAATAACATGGATAAACTTCCAAGCTGTATCATTTACTGAGGGTACAAAATGGTATAATCAGCATGGTACCACTTATACAAAATCCAATACACATTTATAAAAAAAAATACTGAGTAATTTCTCTGGTGTGTTTGTATATGTGTGTAAGGGTGTATACAAACAAGGTCTGGAAGGGTGCCCATTTACAGCGGTTTTCTTGGGGAAAGGCAAGGGTTTTTGGATGGTAGGTGGTTGGAAAAGGAGACTTTAGTCTTACTGATAATGTTCTCTTCCTTCACTTTCCTTTCCTTTTCCCTTCCCTTCCCTCTGAATATGTCCATTTGTTGCCTGCATAAATTAAAGTTACACAATTAAGAATGAAGCCCAGCTCCTGTTTACACTGCCGCACCTGTTCCTGGCCAGCCAGATGACAGTCCGCTGGGCATGGGCAGGAAGGGAGGCGTGCAGGGTCACACCTGTGTTTCGCACTTCTAACAAAGCCATGGGAAGTACAGTGGTTCTGGATGAGACAGGGGAGCAGTGAACACTGCCTGTCACCTTGCAGCCCGGGGGGGGGGGGGCAGGGCGGGGGCAGCCTTTGTTTTATTCAGGCTCCAGGCATGGAATCAGAGGAGGGCAGACTGGAGGAGGGCAGTGTTTCACTTGTTCAGCTCTGGGGTGTCACTTGGCCTCCTCCCTTCTGCTCAGAATACTGGGTCCGGTCCGGTTTGTGCAAGCTTTCATTGGTAACCTTGCTGTCAGTGCCAGAGTATCTGTATTCTGCATTACTTATTCAGCAGCCTTCTTGGCACCAAGGTCTGAACCTGGGCGGGCCGGCTCAGCACAGTGTGGTGGTAGGAGGGAGGCAGCCACAGAAGTGGAGCCACGCCGGAGCTGGTTCATATATGGAGGCCAAATGCTCAAAGCCAGATGCGCAGGCCTGCACCCCTGCTTGGAACTGCGGCAGAGTCTCCCCTGCCAGTCAGCTCGTCCGACCGCTGCATGGCCAGGAGCCCTCAAAAGGGGACTTGTTGCTTCTTCATTATTAAGCCTTCCTTGGTATTACTGTCTTTAAAGGAAATATGGTACAGAAATGCAAGATCTAGATTAAGCCAAAGGATCCAAGTTTTATTTTATGGAGAGCTTTAATGAATCTTTAGGAATAATCTCATTTTCCTGACACACGGATGTAAATACTTGGGGAGATCCCTGTGGCAGAATTGAGGACTTTGTAGTGTGTGACTGACTTCCTTTCAGCTATCTGCTGCTTCAGCCTCCCCTTCTCCCTTAAATGACAGCACTACTGCCCGTCTGGGCGGGGCGGGGGGTGGCGCACAGAGCTGATCAGCACTGAGCAGACGGTCCACACGTGAGTAACTGGATGTTACCTGTCTAGACTTTAATGGCATCTTTTATAATTTTTCAAGGAGTTCCAAATGAGTCACCCTCATGTTTTCTATTTCAAAATCAGAAGCCACGTGACTTGAGGTAATACAGCAAGCGAACTTATTTTCTCCACTTTGCACGTGGGGGAAACACACTAAAAGAGAATTTTGATATGTCATTGGGAAGTGAGTTCTGTTTTCTGTGATCATCCTGATCATTCATTTGTTCGTTCATTCATTCAGTCATCACTCGTTGTGCAAACACCACCTGAAGGCCCACTGTGCACTCTGTGTTGCACTAGCAGAGATGCGGTGATAAAGGACAGGGTTCCTGCCTCATGGCCTCTCTGTGTAGACCTTAGTCAAGGAGTTATGCACATAAAAAGCATGAGAGCAAGAGACAGATGTGGGGAGAGTGGGGGAGCAGATAAGACTTCCCTGATGAGATGACTGGGGGCCGAGTCCTGAACGATGAGCAGGTGATTAGGGAGTAGAGTGGCCTGGGTGGGGGCCTCTCCTCAGGACAGGCTGAATGGAGCATGAATGCAGGGAGGGCCTGAGAGCCAGAGCAGTTGGAACCAGAGTGCGGATGTGTGGCTGAGGAAGAGGCTTGGGAAGGAGTAGGGCCCAGGAGGGCTTGTGGGGTCTGAGGAGCCATGCTGAGGACAGAGAGGAGCTACTGAGGTTTCACGCTGAGGAACGACATGATCAGAAGCGCAAGATGTGAAGATGGCCCTGGTTGCAGTTGTAGGGCGGTGGCCCCTTCCAGCCGGAGAGTGGGTGTGGGTGGCCTTCCAGCACAGCGCTAGAGCTCAGGGAGCTGCGGGAGGGTGTGGAGGAGCAGGAGCAGGGTGCACTTGGGGCAGGCAGGGTGTAACAGGGAGGGGCGAGTGTACACGGCAAGCATCTGTTCCCTGCCTTGGGAGATGGAGCCAGAACATCTGTTTGAAGCTGGCGTGAGAGAGGAGAGAGTGAGAGGGAGGGAGAGAGAATCCTAAGCAGGGTCCACGCTGTCAGCACAGAGCCCGATGCAGGACTCAATCTCACAAACCATGAGATCATGACATGAGCCCAAATCAAGAGTCAGACACTTAACCGACTGACCCACCCAGTTGCCCCAAAGCAGTAGGGGTTTGAAGGCAGAGACCAGGGAGCGATGATCATCATGAATTCCGCTTTGGACCTGTTGCTTCTACCCTTGTGGCACCAACCAGAAGAGTCCTAGTGTCTGACGTGGTCCCTCCTCTTCCCTCCGTCCATACCCTGAAATATTTCTCAAGTCTGGGAAGATTAACCAGTCTTTGCCAAAGTAAGCAGTTTAGTGTTCATGGTGACAGAGGAAGGCAAAATGAAGATACTTCACTTTAAATTGAAAAAACTTTAAACTTGAACTTAAAATTTCAGCACTAACAATTTTCTGCCTTTCCCCCTTTCCCACCCAGGCCAACTATACTGACCCCCAGAGCAAGCTGCGCTTCAGCACTATTGAAGAGTTTTCCTACATCCGGAGGCTGCCGTCTGATGTCGTCACTGGCTACCTGGCCCTGCGGAAGGCCACGAGCATCGTTCCTTGAGCCTTGACAAAGCCTTGAGGAGACGAGGTGGAAAGCTGTTCCAAAGGCAAACTCTGGACTCATGATTTTGTTTCGTGGAAACAAACTCATTCTGCTTGTCAATCTGGAAATGTCAGTGCTGTGCCTTGGAAAGAATGTTTGGCTTTAATTTAAGGTGTTTTTTTTTCCTTTTTCTGTTTTCCCTCCAAGTGGGACGTTTCCTCTTGAATTAAATTATACTTTAGTTATTGCCTCAAGTCAAGTTGTTTGACAAGAAAATATCAAATTGGGCTCTTAACTTAACCCATGTACATCCCTGAATTTTGCTTCAACGTTGTCAACTCTCTTATAACACATCTAAAGACTCTATAGTGAATCCTGACAACAAAGCTGGGTTATTCCTGGTGACTCCCACTTGAGAGCAGATTAGTCTTTCTTTTTGATTGGAATGCATGGAAGAGGTCCAGAATTGGGACTGGAGAAGACAGAGCTGAGTAATCGCCCTGGTGCACTGGGCCAGCCTCTTCCCAGCCTCCAGAGCTGAGATCCATGTCTGTTACTTAGGCCGCCCAGTCTGTGGCATTTTATTATTGTCGCCTTAGCTGGTGAAAGCACCAGCCTGGGCCCCATTTCTGGAGTGTGGGGTGTGAACACTGACACCTCCTGCAAGTGGGGCCCCAGTACCGGCTGCTGCCCCTCTGACCGAAGCCTGTTCTGGAGCAGCAGGGTTTGCTTCCCCTTCCTATGAAAAGTGGAAGCACTCCTGGGCCCCTCCAAGCACAGTCCTGTGTCTCTAGGGATGACAGTGGAGTTACACCCTGGGGCTTCTGGGCGTGAGCTGCCTCTGCTTTGGGGGATTAGGAGGCCAGGTGTCTTTTCTTCCTGAGGGAATGCCCCTCCCGCACGCCTCCCCTGGCTTACAGAAAAGCAAAACAAAGCTGGGAGAACAGCCTGCCGGGCAGGTGGAGCCTGCCCAAAACCTGGCTTCCTTTCTTCCGGGTACAACAGCCCCTGCGTCATCCAGCACCTTCCCAGTGACGGGCAGGAGGGCGGCTGTGTGGCTCTCCTCTCCCACGGAGGGGGCCTAAAGGAGGGCCAGGACAGGTGGGAACCTTTCCTAAGCCCAAGAGCACTGAACATCTGAGCCTCTGGGGCTGAGGGTCCTCAGGCCTGAGACCCACTGCTGAAACTGAAGTTCTCTGAGACCGGAGGCTGCTTCTTGGGCTCCCACTCTCCCTCCGGCACCTGCTGCCAGCATCAGCCTCGGAAAACCCCCAGTTTCCCTTTTGGTGGAAATAAGGAGTAAGTGAGCCAAGGACCCTTCCTGTTTCACTTCCACCTTCTATTATACAATGAAAGCTTGGGGCAGGTCCACCTCTTTTCCACAAAGGCCCCCAACTGGACATTTTAACCATTTTAGAAATGGAAGTTCTAATCATCTCTAACACATTGCTGGGCACTACTTCAGTCCTAACTGTTCAGGCTCTCCTGGTCCGGGGTCACATCCAGCATGGGGGCCCATAGACCATTGTTCTGCAGGCCTTTCAGGGCTTTTGGGGTGTGTGTGCGCTGTGAACTCTGTCAGAGTCACCTGGGACCCATTAAAATGCAGAGTCCTGGGCCACACCCTGGACTTCAAACCCAAGCAGGGGGTGGGACCTTAGGCATCTGCATCTGACTCTGGGTGAATGTGACATGCAGAAGTGTGACAGCTGCCTCCTTCCACAGGCAGACGGAAGCACGTGTGCCGTACACCTGGCTCCCTCCTTTCCTGTTTCCCTGCCAGGCTTTCCCTGCTGGCCTTTGCACAGAGGGCGGAGTCCCAAAGGTCAGGTCGTTTCTCTCACCCCAAGCAACAGGGGTCCAAGCTGAGCCAAACTAAGCTTCAAGCTGTGGACACTTCCAACAAGGAGTCTGGGCAGGTAGTTTTGTGCTGTCCTGCTGTCCACTCCTGGCCCAGAGGCTCCCAGCCCCCGCTGCACATTAGTTTCACCTCTGTTGCAGGGGATGGTGGGGAGAGGTATGAAAATACTCAGGGATTCTGATTCAGCTGGTCTGAGCTGGGGCCTGGCTGCAATAATTTCAATTCCCCCGATGAAACAAATGTGCAGCCATATCGAGAACACTTGCTCTAACTACAAAGTGAATATTTCACATGGGGTGTTTTCTAATCCACAGATCAGCTGCCTCTGCATTACAGGGCCATGGGCAGTTTGGAAGTTTGTGTGTGCGTGTGTTTAGGATTCCTTTCCATGCAGCATCCCAGCACTGGAGTTCTTCCTTCTTCCCTCTTTACTCCTCATGTTCAGTCAGTCCCCATATCCCTCTTTGCTCACACTGATCCTTCCTCTTCTCTCTGGTTCTGTTCATACCCAACTTCAGGAATACATCACCTCCTGCCTGGACATTTTCAGTGTCCTCCCAACTCTATTTCCAATGGTCTAATCCCTACTCATCTGCTTTCCCCTCTGCCAGCAGAGGGCCCTTCCTCAACTTCCAATGAGAACTTGACATTGCCCATGATGGTATGTCTGATTTGTCTCAGATACCTTGTTAATACTGGCATTGGCCTCTAATGTCCAAAGGACACACTCAGCCCCTCAAAAAAAAAAAAAAAAAAAAAAGAACAAAAACAAAACATCTGAGAAATCAGATTGTTTCATAAGACCAAATTGAGGTCCAATCTGCTCAGAGTAGAATTTGACTCTTTCCCAATATCTGTCTGATAACTTGTCTTCACTTTAAGAAGAGAACAATCTATTATTACACATAGATTAGAACCTCTTGTAATGCTGGACAAATAATCTCTAGGGCCCATGTGGACAAGAGGGACCTATTTTGCCCCCTTCTCTGAAGTTAAAGCATGCATCCATTTGGATTTTGAATTTTGTTTTATAATTGGGCCAAAAGTGTTTTCAGTGGGAAATCTCTCATTTCTGAATCCATGGTCACTGGAAAGAGACATCAGACTCTTGATCCTGCTTTCAGTGACCTGTAACTGAGTTGGGAGTGCCTAACTTAGTAAAAAATAAAGGGTAAGGAAAGAAACAGATGGAGTAGGGAGTAAAGAACCTAACCAAATAGGACAGAACAAACAGGGCAGGAACACTGCAAAGAGATTGAGGATGATATCCTCTTCCAAATGCATGAAATGGTAAGTGTTATTTAAAATACTGTCCTATCTGATAGGAATGTGTAGGCCTTATTTAGATACTGATTCAAAGAAAAAGACTTAAAACATTTTTGAGATAACTGGAAATTTGATAGTTGATGTTATTTAGGAACTCTTATGAGTACTGTTCGTTGTGACAGTAATGGTCTTGTAATGTTAAAAGAAAGCATTTGTATCTTTTAGAGACACAAATACTGAAATATTTATGGATGGAATGATATGATCTCTGGGATTGGCTGCAGGACAGTATGGGAGAGAGGAAGTGGATGGGAGTAGTGCTGGCACAGGACTGGCCAGGAGTCAGTAATTGTTGAAGCTGAGTGATCGGTACACAGAGGTTCATTATACTACTCTGCTTTCATATGTTTAAATTTCTCTATAATAAAATGCTTTTTTTTTTTAAATGATGTTTTTAAAACTAAAAATTAAAATAAAGCTTTACCTAACATTGGCGGTCTGCATTGGCTTGGCATGGCTTGTGGCCATTGGAAGTTTGAGAACTGTTGCCTAAGTGGTATGAAGTCCCAAACAGAGGGACTACCCAATTCCTAAAGCATTCCATAGAGCATACGCTGGAAGAGCAGCCCCTGAGGTGGGCATGGGAGTGGAGGGGCTGAAGACACAGCTTCAAGTTTCTCCTAGTGTGTAAATAATTTGTACTACAGCGGGTTTGGGATGCATTAGAACGACTGACTGTGGTTTGAGAAAATACCTGTTGATCTACTTCCCAGTAGAATCAGCAATATTTATACATGTACACAGACAAAGAAATTAGATCATCAAAGAACTAAGCACATAGACAGCTATGGTTCAAGGAACTCCTTTCACTGAATTTCAATTGCACCTATATTTTTGTGCCTGTATTAAAGAACTGCATTGAAAGTGGTCAAGAGACACAAAAATCACTACTGGATCTGATCTAGAAATATCTCCTTGGGGCCCCTCCACTGCCCTGCAGAGTGAACTTCCTGGTTAGGCCCCCACACACACAGCCTGATAGCCTGGGTTTGAGTCTCATTTCTATAACTGACTAACTCTCTGGTTTTGGGCAAATTACTAACTTACTCCCAAATTATCAGTGTTCTAATCTGTAAAATGAGCATCACAATAGTATTTACCCCACATGACTGCCAGGCTTGAATGAGAAAATGGCAGAAGAGCAGTTAACTCAGCTTCTGGCCCACATGCCCGGCATGTGTGAATTGGGATCATTCACTTCCCTCCCAGCTCTGTTTTAGAAAGGGGGATCTTTTCCCAACTCACGGATGTACTCCTTCTGTCTGATTATGTTTTCTCTTTCCTTTGGCTCCTTATACTCTTAGGTCCATATTTGCCCACTTCTAGTAACTGAACATCATATGATAGACATTTCCGTGTCCTCATCTTCCTGCTGGCTCTATCAACTGTTTCCTTGTCTTCTTCATTACTTCTCTTGGTCATTTATTCCATCTTCTATTCTGTATATTTTTACAAGCTGGCTCAATTTTTTTTTATGGCGCAAGAGGATGAGTAAATAGCTAGCTAAGTCAATAAGTTGCCATCTGTGACTGAGGCCAGGGGAAGAGAAGAGTCATGGGGGTGGACAGTAGAGGACTCTGATGAATGAGCTCTGTCCGAGTAACAGGGAAAGAAGGGGCCAAGAGAAAGTACCCACTGGGGCTCTTCAGAATACGTACTGCTTTCCGCCTCCTTTGGTATTCACCATGTGTGCTACCATAGTCTCTCTGTACTAATAAAGGACCATAGAATCCTTAAACACAGGAAAGGGGCAAGTTGTCTACTTGTTTTGGTGGCAGGGTGGGGTGTAAAATGGGACAGCTTTCTTCCCAGGACAAACACAGAACCCCTGGATTCAGCCAGGTTTTCTTCTATGACTCAGTGGCCTCTGTCCACTGGTGCTTCGGTCTCAGCTGCAGACAAAGCCTTTCCTGGGAAGAGGTAGTGTTTTCCTGGCCAACAGGATGCTGACTGCTGACAGGCGCACCGTGTGTACCAAACACACCACTCTCTTCCCCTCGGGGTCAGAAAGATGAGTCACCTCCACCAGCCCAGGGGGCTCAGAGCCTTGACCCTTTCCAGTGTGGA